TGCGTAATCATTTCAATTTGTAGGTCGTTCTAATTTTGGCACATCATTTAAACTTCTGTTGCCGATTTAAGCATTTTAGTACCAAATTGACAACGACAAACTGTGAGCAATTATCAGTAAATTTCAGTTATTGATTTAGTCTGCCTTAATGTGTTACTGATGGATACTGATGAAAAGTTTGCCTAATAAGAAAGGAGACTTTCTTAATTGTTTCCTTTACCGTATCTGGACACCTACTGAACTCAAATTCTGTTTTTGAAACTGGCAAACTTTTGGCCCCCCTTAAACTTAAATCAAATTAGAAATTTCTTAGCCTGATTTATTTACGTGTAAACATCATTTAATATTATAGAAAAATTATTATCTTTTACTTCTATTTACATGTTGTCAATCTATTAAAACAACAAAATGACAATTGTTTTGTTCTTTAAAATTAATTTTGTTTATTTAATTATGATTTCAAGCAAATATGTTTTGCTTTATTCGCTTTTAAATCTGCGCCTTTTAATGCTGAACAGACAATCCAATTTGCTTAAAGTATTGTCGCTTTAAATTGAATCGCATTTATTTCGTCATTGACAACTATATCACCGATTTATTATTCTAAATATTTATGTCGAATGACAGGCTTTATGATAGTTATCATTAGCCCTTTAGTTGACTTCTGGCTTCACAGAGGGAGAAAAACATCAAAGTGAAAAAAATTCGAGAGGGGAGGGTGAACAGAAGAGTGTTTTAAAGATGTAAAAGAGACAGACACAAAGATAAATGAAAGGTGAGGTGAGTACTGTGGAAGTGGTAGAATATGACATACAGTGGGGTCATGATAGCTTGAACTCAGAAGTCAATTGCCAGTTTATAGGCTTTTTTGCCGCATGAGTATACGTTGCCCAGGGTGCACCACGTGGAGGTAAGTCTGTCGCACACCCCATTGTTCTAAATATAATTCAAGCTTTTGACCTTGTTTAACGTACGCGAAAGGGTAAATATGAAAGCATTAAATGTACAAAAATTTCAATTGCAGTAAGATTACTCTATATTTTTCTGCTAAAAATTTGGCATTCATTAATACTTCATACTTCCCCTGAATATGTCCAATTCTCTTTAATACAATCTCTAATTCTGAATGACTGCGAATTTTTTTGATTTCTTGCAGTTTCCGTCTATGTCGCTTTTTCAGTTCCGTAACAAATTTGTTTTACTTACACAATAACTGTCTTTTTTGTTTTGCCACCTTGTTTGAGAGTCGGAAGTTTGAGTAAATCATTCTAAGTTTTCTAAGTTGACGTTTACCAAGTCTCTCTTTTTTTGACTTGTAATTTCAACTTTTGAAACTCACATTATTTTGTAGCTGTGAAAATTTTTAGAAATTTTTTTTAAAAATTGGAAATTTTACCACTTTGTCCATTCCATGAGTTCTAATTTTGTTAAAATAATAACTAATTATTAGATTGAAATTCTTCTCATTTTCACCCCTATTTTTTTTAAATTTTAATGAATATATTATTTATATAGTCTCACTTCCACTCAGACCTACGTGGGCCGTAAGGTACTTGTTGCTTTATTTTGCACGTATAGTGTGTGTGTGTGTGTGCGCGCGCCGTTAAATATTTGATTGTTTACGAAGCATAGCATTTCGAGTATTCCTGGTATAAATCTTATCGCATTCTGGGACATTTGTTGTGCTGACAAAATTGTTGCTGTTGTTACCTGTATCCCAGTGTTCCATTTCGCTCGTTTTAAATAACTTTAAATTTATTTGTGGTGGTTCAGCCTTTGTCTTTTGTGTTTACGTGTGGGTACGTGTGTGTTTGTGTGTATTTGTAGGTGCATTCATAAAGCAAGTCAATTTAAACCTAATAAAGGGAGCCATTTTTGTTCCGGCATATATCTTGAACTTTCCAGTTCCCTCGTAGCATTTTGAATTCTTTTTAAATGCCGAAATTTTGCCAAATATATTTATTCCCCATTCTATTTCCAAAAGGACAAAAAAGAAGCCGGTTTCAGTTACCTTTTTTTTAAAAAACCCGTATTTCATCCGTCTTATTCACACATTTTCATCATAAGAGGTCATCAGATCGCGGGAACCGTAAAACCGCCTATGGTAGGTGGCAAGTAAAGACTAAGTGTTAAAGCTTTCCTACAACATTTATATTATAGACGCACACTTTTTTCCACTTCGAAAATTTTGTCCACTGCTTAATTTCCTCATGTTTCAAAATCGCGGGCCTTGTAACATGTCTCCCGGCTTGATGTGGTCTTCTAACAACCGAAATACCCACAGACTATAAAAGTTCACATCTTTTTTAACTGCCAGAGTTCACAAAACGTGGTCGAAGTCTACGTTACCTTCTTAATTTTACCTTTAAGACGCCGATATGAGGATTTATGCTGAAATAATTATTAGGTGTATTATTCAAACATCCACAGATGGTTTAATTTTAAAATTGGACATTGGAATTTTTTTGGTGAAATGCATTAGGCATTTCAATGTGATAGGTATATTGACTCCTAGCAGTAAGTCGGAAGTACTATTACAAAGCAGTCAAAAGTGCTTATTTAAAAGGTATTTTGCTCCGTTGTTAATGCATGTTTCCTTTTGACTAGCACAAATGAATTTTGGCCTAAAGTTTGTCTTTTATTTCTAGAAGATGATGGGAATTTCATTTTACTGACATTAAATATCTAAGAAAGGTCAAAGTCTGGTTTTGTCATCCCTGCTCGAGTACCATTATCAACTTTTGTCAACTATGTCAATACAAAAAATTACAAAACTGGACTGATCTTGTATTGTCCAGCTCGAAACTGTACAATTTTTTATTTGTTTCCTTATTAGTTGATCAACATGGATGCTAGGTCTATGTGTCAAATGATTAATTTGTTCAAGGTTTATCCAATAACCGCTCAATACGTTAAGGAGGTATATATTGTGCTGATTTTGATCGGGTCAATTAAAGGATGCAACTAGGAAGAAGTTGTGAAATCTCCTAAATATAAACAGATACCTTAAAAATAGTCCCCTTTAACATGATTAATATAAATAATATTTTATTTATTTATTTATTCCAAATGGCAGGCGTTTTGAATAGTTATCATTGGCCATTTAGCTGACTTTGGGTTTCGCAGAGGGGAGGACCAGACAAAGTCTCAAAACGTGGAGAGGGGGAACAGAAGAGAGATTCACAGGTGTATAAGAGACAGACAGACACAAAGGTAGAGAAAATGTGAGATGAGTATTGTGGAAGTTGTGGAATATCAGAAAAAAGGTGAGGTGAGTACTGTGAAATGGTCGAATATGGACAAAGGTGAGGTGAGTACTGTAAAAATAGTCGAATATGATATAGAGTGGGGTGATGGTAGTTTGAAGTCAGAAGTCAACTGCCGATCAATAGACTTTTTGCAAGTCAGAAGTCAACTGCCGATCAATAGACTTTTTTGTCTTTGAAGTCAGAAGTCAACTACCGTACAGTGGGGTCATGGTAGTTTGAAGTGAGAAGTCAACTGTAGGTGAGGTGAGTACTGTGGAAGTAGTCGAATATGACACAGTCAGTGGGGTCATTGGTAGTTTGAAGTGAGAAGTCAACTGCCGGTTGATAGACGGTAGTTTGAAGTGAGAAGTCAACTGCCAATCAATAGACTCTTTTGCCGCATGAGTATACGTTGCCCAGGGTGCACAACGTGGAGGTAGATCTATCGCATATCCCATTATAAATAACATAAATGCACATCTGTAAAGTCTCTATGACTATAGAACCTACTAGGAAAATGATCAAATCAAATCTTACCTCCTCTCTTAATAGATTTACCAATTGCTTTCTTCAATCCGCCATTTACTCTCCATTTCAATACAAACAGTACAGTCTGCACAGGCCAGCGTTTTCAGTTCATATGCTATCCGCTTCCTCAAAATTTCGGAACCAACTTGTCCCTCCTGCGGGTGGATCCCGTATTCACCGATTCAAAGCTACGATACATGAGCGACCGAGAGTCCGCAATCGATTTCAGGCATACCAATACCCACCACATTTACGTTAGTTTTGATTCTTTTGCCAACATTCATTTAAAAAAATAAGCAACTGTAAGATGGAAGGACAACGGCCACTAGGCTTGCCTGTTAGAGCAGAGGTCATGGGGTCACTACCAACCTCACCGGTTAAGACTGAGCAACGCAGGGTGCCGAAAAATTCGAGTCACTCAACAAGCGGTTGATATGATACCACTCTATCCTCGAGATGATCGTTATAAAACGCTTTCCTGGATGCATTAAGAATTATTTTAATTCGGAAGTTGTGCTAAGACATTTGGAAGTTAAAAGTCCGTAACTTCTTATCCAACATCTATTTTGGGCCTACAAGTGGTTAGTTTTAGGTTTATACTTAGATAACATCTAGATTGATTTGCATAAAGTAGTTTAAATTTTTATGGTTTCAACAACGGTGTTCATCAATGTCATACAATGGTAGCGGCTTTATTGTAAGAGAACGGTCTCGTCGTGTATCACCATCTCTCGATGAATTGTGAATTTTTGGCAAATACCTAATGCATTATCCAATTACACAATCTATTTATTTCATTTTTTAATATGGGACCACACGCGAGGTAGTGTTAATGATACGGATGATATATAGCTATGTCTACCAGACGAGTTCATGTTGCGACAACTGTAAAATTTCATTGTTCACTTCAGGATATGCTTGCTCAACTGTCACATGGTTTGAACTTGTCTTGGACGATCCGTTATTTTTAATTTTAAAAGATTATATTAGTGAAGAGGTGGGGTTTCCACTTGCATGCGAATTCTAGTGAATTATCATAAATGGGTTAAAGAGTTATGGTATTACAAAGTACCACTCTAAAGAACAGCATTTATTGAAGTCATGAGTTTCTGTTTTGCATATTCTAAATCGTGAGTAATTGACCTTCCAAGCTTGATTGTCGTGGAAATATTAGGTATCCATGACCTAGAATTAATCCGCACAAAAGACCACGCACACTATAGGATGTTCGCCGATAGAAACCAATTCCTTACAGATGTATGTTTGTCAACTCAATCGATATCTAGAAACCGATATATTAAACGAGTTGGTTAAGTAAATAAGTATTGGAGACTTGGTTCCCAGTCCGATTAAATGCTGATTTTTTATTCAGAATTTCCTCACTTCGGGGACTGATAGAGAGCCACTAATTTACAATTTGGACGCAGTGAACAAAAACGACACCGGTGGCTATATGTGCGTAGGATCCTTGGCGTACGATGTTGCTGCTCGTTGGATGTATATGTACCTCAGTGTCGTTGACTGTGACCGTAAGTTTGTTTTGATGACGGATTCAAATAAAGCATCAGAATGACTGAATTATAATAAGGTACCCACCAGAGATCCCCATAATAACCAGTCTCACCTTTTTGAAGTAAGAAGCAAGGAGGGAGAGTTAGTGAAAACCCGCCTTTAATAAATTGAGTTAGGGGACACGGGAATAGTTTTAAAGCACTGTCCGAGTAACAAGGTACAACATAGCCATTGACGAGCTTTGACGGTGCATTCGATTTCGTCTTCCATAGAAGTCCATATTAATAAAACGTCTTCCAGGGCTATCTAGACACTAAATCCTCTAAGGCCAGAGTTACAAGCGAAACGAGAAACTGAGTGTGTTATGTGAGGCTCTGATATAGATAGCTGACGGTGTATACGAATAAGGACTTCCTAGATAATACAATAAGGAGTGAAATTTAGCTAGATCCCGATAAATAACAGAGTTAGTCAGATTGATCTATACCATTATATTGTAATGTTAAAGTCCATCAAGGGTACTGGATGGACGTTCGCAGGGCACTGAAAATAAAGTCAGATAATCAAAAGACGATACTGCAATTCCTTACTCTATAGTTTGTTCGCTGCTATACGCTCTAACTGACAAAATTTCTGAATCACCCATTTCATTTTCCAGTGCTCATTGGCCGATTGATTAATTCTGATATGCTTTGGGCAATAAGTATTATAATTTTGAGAAGTTTCGTGACGGTCAAGGTTCAAATACTTATTACGTTAAATAAATCGATTTTTGATTAAATAAACAAGTCAAAGTGTGCTTAGTGATTACCCAGCCACACCGATATTCAATAAGATAACGACAGCGTTAAGATCGCCTATTATATTCATTATTGTATGGCCGACGTATAGAAAAAATCTATAATCATTGTTTCGAACGTCAAGGTCATAAAATGTTGTTAGCATTTATTTAGGAAAGTGAAACAATATGCCAACTCCCAGTGTATTTATTCTTATGATAATTTCCCTAAAAATAAGTTTAGAGTATCAGTGTCTGTTGAATAAGACGGATGTACTTATTTAAGTTTCACAACCTCACTTCTAGATAGGACATAGTAGGACAAATAGCATTCACTTCCCTTTGTCACCATTTGAAGACCAATATGAACGTAAAGCTCACATAGAAATGGTCAAAAAACAGTAGCAAATTTGGAGAGCTATGCAAAACAAACGTTAACAAGGGGATTAAACGCACACTCAACCTGCATTTTTACCTCCATCAGGCCCAAATGGGAAATCGTTTCGCGAGCGAATGATGGAAACTTTTTCTAGTCCCACAGCCCTCACCTTCATTTGTCTCCTATGCGCCATCCTCTTGATAACCCTCGCCACTCTGATCGTCTTCACTTGTCGCCACCATCAGCTTCCTCTCTTCCTGATGAGCCCTAAGAAGTTGAGTAAAGCGGCGTCAAAAGTTGTGATGGAGACAAATCATCTCTACCCCTGGACTTCTCCGCCCCATCACAACTGCTCCCATCTGCAGTCAAAGGATGTCATGAGGGCGACTTCAGCCTCTGGTTATTATGGAAATACACCCGGGGTTGGGAGAAATCTACAGGTTGGTGAATTGATGAAGTATAGGCGCATAGGCAAGAAGAGCCCTTTCTTCCCNTCCCATTTTTTATACTTCGATCTGATCATCAAATATATATATATATATATATATATATATATATATATATATCGAATGGTAGGCTATATGATAGTTACCATTAGACCTTTAGTCGACTTCGGGCTTCACAGAGGAGAGGAACATCAAAGTCACAAAAAGTGGTGAGGGGGAATAGGAGATTGATTCACAGACGTAAAAGTGGCAGACACAAAGGCAGAGTAGAAGGTAAGGTAAGGTGAGTACTGTTGAAGCGGTGGAATATGACCTACAATCGTGTCATGATATTTTAAAGTCAGAGGTCAACTGTAGGTTAATAAACTTTTTGGCGTATGAGTATTTGTTGCCCAGGGTGCACTACGAGGAGGTAAGTCTATCGCACACCCCTGATCATTAAAACTAAAGTTCCCAATTTTGTTTGTTTCCATTACATATAAGGTTACGTGCATGCCTTTTTCACTTTACGTCGATGCTGCATGTCTAATTTTAACGAAATTAAAAGAATCCAATTCAGAAGCACTTTTAAGATTCCTAGACGAAGGGGAGTCAGTATAAGGTGAAGTTCACAGATTATCCCTACTTAGGATAAACGCTGAAGGATAAAAGTATCCTTGATAACAAAGAGATGCAATGCCTTGTTAGAAAGGTTTTAAAGGATACTGTTACGAGTTAGATCAGGATAAGTTTAAGTTCATAAAGGACAAATCCAAATTTTGACTAGGTAAAGCGGTTCCATTACCATTAATTTACTTGGGGCCAATCAAAAATTTCATGGCATTACTTAAAGTAGATGCCAAAATTCTTTCAATCGTGAAGTCTGCTCTGGAAAGAATCAACAAGTGTGGTTGCCCCAATTGAATTGATAATTTGGAACGGTGGTCAGCCTGTACATCTGATATGGGAGCCATACACGTCAGTCAACACCTCAATCATTAAATGACCTTAGGAAATTTAGTGACTGCTATTGCTTGCATAAGAGCCCTCCCC